AAAATATTCCTTTGCATTATCAGATCGGAATATTTTGATCCGAGTGTTAAACTGAGTAAGAATAAGTTAATAAAACTTTTGTACCATATTTGGTACATCATCCCGGGATTTCAGAAGGTAAATCCATGTATAATGAGAGAAATCATCAATGAAAAGAATGAAATATTTGTAGTCCCCCATAGCAGGTAAATGATATGACCCCCACACATCAGAGTGTACAATATGGAAAGGAGAAACAGATCTTTTATTACTCACTAAAAAAGATTGTCTACAATGTTTAGCAAGTTCACATGACTCACAATGAAAACTCAATAGGGATATTCCCTTAAACATTTCTAGAAACAAATGACTCAAAGCTGAAAAAGTCAAGTGACCAAATCTAAAATGACATATCATGACTCTATTAACTGACTCTGATAAAACAAACTCCAAAGCAACTCGACTAGGTAATCCAGGACTTTGATCAGAGACATCCAGCAAGTATATCCCATTCGCCTCATGGCCACTCCCAATCGTCCTCTGAGACTTCAGGTCCTGAAAAACACAATAAGTAGGAAAGAAAGTTATGCTGCAGTTCAATGATTTGCTTAAACTACTAACAGATAATAGGTTAGTGCTAAGTTTGGGAACATGAAGGACAGAGGATAAAACAAGTGAATCAGAGGCTTTAATATTCCCCTTGCCAGATATGGGAGCAAGAGACCCATTGGCAAGAGAAATCTTCTCTCTACCCGAGAGGAGCTGGTATGAGCAAAAGAGGTTGGGTAGGCTAGTCATATGATCTGATGCACCATAATTTATAATCCAAGGAATTCTACGATTACCTGAGACTATAGCATGATTTGCAAACGCACGAATACCTGAATGGGCAAAAGCGGATGTAGAGGGGGTGCCTGAGGAGGAAGATGCAACAATAGACCCCAAGTGATTTATCAATTTCCCATATCTCTCAAATTCTGCCTTCACTGTTGCCAATTGTTCCACAACAGATTTTTCTTCACATTCAAACATTGTGGCAACATTTGCATTCTTGGATTTTCCAAACTGACCACCCTTCTTAGAGATGTTGTTCCGAAACCTCTCAGGAAGAAGATCTGGATGAAGCTTCTAACAAGAATCCTTAGTATGTTTCGGCTTCTTGCAGTATTCACATATCACTTCCTCTTTCTCATTCAGCCCCTTTAGTTTTATTCCAGCATGTGCAAAATGTTCTGGAGGAGGTGGGGTCCGTAACTGTACGTGTTGCCTGCACTCTTCACTACTCACCATAGAGTATGCCTGTGCAAGTGACACATCAACATTGGCCAAGATATTCTACCTTRTAATATCAAATTCAGGATTGAGTCCTATAAGGAACTCAAACACCCTGTTTCTTTCYACAAATTTCCTRAAAATTTCRGCATCTTTGGTGCTTTCCCATGCAAATGTTTCCATAACATCCAACTCCTGCCATAGTGACTTTAACATTGAATAATAGACAGCCACACTCTTCTCCCCCTGTCTTAAATTCTTCACATCACTCTTTAATTTGTAGGCCCTTGCAACATTTAATTTCTGAGAATATGTCTCTGTCACACTATCCCAAATCTCCTTGGCTGAAGTCATCCACAGATAGTGTTGACTTACATGGGGCTGCATAGAATTTACCAATCACCCAATAACTGTGTAGTTATCCTGCATCCATTTCTCATATGTAGGGTCCGACTCATCCGGCATCGCCTTACTACCCGTTAGAAACCCTAGTTTACCTCTACCACTGACATGGATCTTAATGGATTGTGCCCATGCAAGGTAATTTGTTCCATCAAGTTTAATTGTAGTCACTCCTGTAAAAAAGTAATCTACGGGACCAACCCCAACACTAGGATTTGCTTCACCTCACTTCTAGATTGTTCCATCAATCAAACAAAAATCAAAAAACAATGTTTTTAACCTTTATAGACCTAACTAAGGTCAATCAAGCACTCAAAAGCCCCAAAACTAGGGTTTCACTGTACCCGGCCTCCAGGGAGAAAGAGAGAAGAGGTAGTCGCTCAAACCAAAGCTATCAAACGACTTCCAACTGCAACTGCCCACTTTTGGAGATAAAAAGGAACCCTCCAAGCCTTGAGCGCCGCACCCAAACAGCCTCTTCAACCCGTAACTGGAAATTCTCTAATCGGCTAGGGTTTTAGGAAAAAAATTGCAGTCCCACTTTCTTGGCAATCTTTGACCAGATTCCGACTCTCCAAACCCTCTACCAACTAAGCAAACAAGATCTCTGAATAATCAGCAATTTATCTCTCCATACACCTTTCGATTAGAAAAAAGATGTATGGGAAAAAAAGAAAAAAAAGGAAAGGGAAGAGAGACCTGCTCTGATACCAAGATGTGATTCAAAACTAATARAATCAATAGAATATTTCAAAATAAAGTAAAAGAAATCAGAGGAGACAGTAAGAAGGAGGAAGATTGGAGAAGAAAGGAGAAAAAAAGGAGGAATTCAAATATCTCTTCTTTCCCCTACTCTTATCTTTTATAAAACAAACTTTAAGTTACATAAATTACAAGGAGGCCCTTAAGTAGGCGTCCACATCAGCACTAAACTTAGATAAACATAAAAAGAACTAAAGGCAAATAATAAGAAAACATAACATGAAAGAACTAATAAGAAAGACACTAATAGGCTAGGGCCCATTCGGCCCAGTCTCTCTACAAAAGTGATGATTCGAGTTCGATTAAATATTCGACGGATGTGAAAAGTTACCAAATGAAGAACAACAAACGAAAAAAGAAAGAAAACAAAACACCTAAAAAAACTGAAGCAAAGCGAAGAACAATAAATGAAAAAAAAAAAGAAAGTAAAACACCTAGAAAATCTAAAGCAAGCAACTACGTCTCTAGTCACAATAACAAATCCCTTTACTACCAGTAACATGCATAAAGAGAACATAGTGAAAGCAAGAGAGAGAAAGAACAGAGGGAGAATGAAGGGAGAGCAAGAGAGATAGAAAGAGGGGTCGTTCATCAAAAGAGAAACAAGGAGAAGAACATTGGGAAGATGCAATAGGGAACTTGAAAACCCCAAACATTTAGCTGATTTTTCTGCAACAACGCCTCTAGCTACTAAAGTCCGCATCTCTCATGTGAACACCTTCATACCATAGAGAGACAGAGGGGAATGGGGGAGAACTAGGGCAAATGACATGGAGTAGCAGAGATAGGGAAGATGAGATGAACAGTAGTGAGGGATTACCCACTCACCGCTATTGGTAAATGGAAAAGTAGAACTGAGTGGTCTTGTCACTCAGATGATAATCAAGTGTTTTTGTATTTTGTAAGAGATATGTAATTAAATGTCAGAAAGCATTACAAGGGGATATGATAAAAATATATTATATAATATTATATTTATATTTATAATATAATCAAATTTGAATATTTATCAAATCGAATCAACTTACATTCGAATTCGATTAGATTAATTAATTGGTAGGAAATGAATATTCAAATTCGACCATTTTTACTATTTGAATCATCCAAATTCGATTCAATTACATCGAATCTCGAATTCGAAATCGGATTTTCGGATACCATTGACACCCCTACTGGTGTTTTAGTTAGTCTTCTCTTCTCTCGGGTATCTTATCACCTTTGTTTGTATTCTCTTTTTATTTTAATGAAATTTTTTAGCTTATTCTTAAAAAAAAAACAAAGTTTCCAAAAGCGTTTTTTTATTGTTTCTTTTCGATAGGGTTTTTTTTGCAGTTTGTTGTTGTTATCATTAAAGCTGTGTTTCAATTAGTCTTCTCTTCTCTCAGGTGATATCTTATCACCTCCCTTCTGTATTCTCTTTTTATTTTAATAAACTTTTTTAGCTTATTCTTCAAAAAAAAGAGTTTCCAAAAACACCCACATGAAATGAAGAGATGGCAGACTGACTCCTCTTCTTCTTTACACAGGTAATACATGCTGGTCATACTGAATCCTCTGCTCTTCAAGATATCCACTGTCAAGACACAGTCCAACCAGCCAAGAGAAAGCTTCCACCCTGGGAGGAATTGGGTTACCCCACACCCCTTCAATTTGCTTAAAGATCCATTAACTCCTGGCAAAGTGCTGAGTAACAAGATTTAACAGAGAACTTTCCATTAGAGCATTCCTTCCACCATAACTCATCCCTTGATTGGGTTGAGACCTTCACACTTTCCAACTTTCACCAAAGTGCTATACACTTCAAGTTCCCTGTCAAGAAGTAGCCTCCTGAGCCTTAGGATCCAAAACAGATCGGCATTCTTTCATAACAGCTTAGGATAGTCACCCCTGGTTCAGACATCCTATACAGTCTGAAAATCTCCCGATTGCTCCACTTGCATTGGTTGCCCCTTGAAGTTTTCAGCTCTTATCTCCAAGACAAGGCTGGCTCTTCAAAACTGTGATATTTTGTTAAAATCATCAATTTTTAAAATCTTTTCCTAAAAGAACAAAATGGGGATTCAATGATTGGATAATTCATATACTATTTGAAATGATTCACTTTCTAAGTCCTTGTAATTCAAAAGAGAGAAAAAAAGACATAACTACAAAAGAGGGTTCTCAATCTAATCAAAACATATAACAAAAAAAAGGAAGTCAAGATGGCAAGTAAATGACATACATAAAGAAGAGAAGATGGCTAAAAGACTAAAATGGAGACAAAGAAAGGTTCCCATTTAAGTGTCTTAATTTTCTCTTATTTGATAATACATTATTCTTTGCTATGTTTTTCAGCTTTAAATGTGCAATTATTCTTTTCCTATATTTTATCAATTCCTAGAATTATAGCTACCACATTAGCATAGCTCAATTTTGCATGTGTCATGAAGATACATAAGTGGACTTTTGTATGGTAAACAAATGTTCATATTTTGTTTATCCAAAAAGAATTGAAAGTAAGGAAGTAATATCAATATCTTTTTCGACAAATAAAAGAATGATTAAGCACATACACTCTAAAAATTTTATGAGGCAGAAAAACTCACCATGTCTTTTGACACCTCCCAAGGTGCACCGATTATAACCTCATCTACATATCGGCAAGCTAGAACGCTCAAGCTTCTCTCATGAAGATTCATGATAGGGCGATGTGTCCCTCTATTAGCACTGCAAGAAACATTGCACATAAATGAAGAAATATTAATTTTCTCAAAAAAACTGAGCATAACACTTTACAATCATATAATACATACAAATGGGAAAATGCAAACTTCCCATCAATAGACTAGAGGGAAATGAAGAAAAAATGGCCAAAAACACTTGAGTTCGGGACTGCCTAGTAGCACAGCATCAAATATAACAAAGAATTAGGATGGCTGGAGAGGAGAAATGTCTAAATGCCTATAAGCACCATGCCTAATTGATGCCCAATATACCCTGTAATACTTATTTTTTATCGGCGATAGAAATAAAAAATGATTAATTAGGAGAGGAAAAATTACAACTTTTAGGTACGCTCAGCTACCCCCACCCCCCAAGTCAAACTTAAAAATAAAAACAGAAAAAAAAATATCTTTTATTAACTTTACAAATGAGCCCAAAAACACTTCTTTCTGTTTACCCATTGCTTTGCTAAGTGATTTGCTAGACTGTTAGCCCAGGTCCATTGAAATACCAACTGCACATCCCTTGAGAGTCTCCTAAACCTTTTGATTCTATTTCAGAAGCACCATGGAATCTTTTCATTTTATTTCAGCCAGCTTATGATTACTTTTGAGTCTCCTTCAATTATCAACTTCCTTACCCCTATCTCTACAGCTTTTTGTACTCTGAAAACCACTGCCTTCAATTCAGCTTTTGTTGAGTCCCCTACCCCAAGCAGCGCTGAAAACAAGCTCAATATTACTCCTCCTTCATCCCTCATCACCCCTCCTTTCCAGAAGGACTCAGATTGCCAAACCTGAAGGCAAATTTCGGTAAAAATTGTATAGTATGAATCAATATGGAGGATGATAGGGTAAGGACATAATGCGAAGGCATTGGGATGTTTGGTATTTGAATGGCCAATCAAATATTTAGCACTTCCCTTAGGTGGTAATGCCAAACTAGCCAGGTTTTGGAATCCTGATGTTGAAAAGGTCTCCAAGAGATTACCTCTCCCCTTGCTTTCTTGAATCTGTTTTTATTTTTTAATAAAAGTTCAGTTATTGATAAATAAAAAAAAAATCTCCAATAGATTAGAAGCCTAGAATAAGAATTACATCACTTTGGGGGAAGGAATCATGTTAATAAAATGAACCCTAGCAAATTTACCTATATAATACACCATGTTTTAGAATACTTGCACTTATTGCTAGAAGACCAAAGAAAACAATGAGGGATTTCTTGTGGGATTCAGGTGATGCCAAGAGAACACTTGATAAACTAGAGGCTGGTAAGTTAAAAGCATTGATGGTATCCATTAAAAGCATAGTACCATTAAAAACATAGTACCAAGACAACACTTGGGAAATGGTTGTGGAGATTCCCCAGATACTCAAACAAATTGTGGCATAGTACCATTAAAAGCATTGATGGTATCCAAAGATGGTTTCTTCACAGTCCATACCATACTCTTGATTATATCCCTGGGCAACTAAACGTGCCTTGTATCAATCAAGAGATCCATCAAATTTTGGCTTAATGTTGTAAACCCAACGACTCCCAACAATGGATGCATCTGGAGGAACAGGCACAAGGTTCCAAGTGTCATTCTCATGTAAAGCATGAACCTCTACATCCATGGATTCCTTTCAATGAGGGCTACTATTAGCTTCCTAGTAGGAGCGAGGAATATCTGTAGAGGACAGGACAACAGACAAAGAGCTATGGTTTAAACGAAAACCATAGCAATTAGGAGGTCTAGATATACGAGTAGAACGACGAAGAGGAACAAAAGGAAGAGTGTCTAAAATAGTGGTATTACTTACAGGAGCAGTGGTAAGATGATGATCTGAACTGGGAGGAAGGAGAGTCACAGGCATAGGGGCTGGAGCACGTAACCGCTTGCGAGAGAAGACGAGAAGGTCCTTCTCAGCAGAAAGAGGTGGAGCATCCTGTGAATCAAAGTTTGGAAAAACAAAAACATACGGTGCAAACAGTCTAGCAATTCTAGCAAAAAAGGAAATGTGCTCAAGGAAAACAACATTACGTGATATACGAATGTAACGAATAAAGGGATCATAACAAAGAAATCCTTTGTGATCAAATTGTAACCCACAAAGGCACACATGACAAATTGTGCAGACAAATTAGAACGTTCACGAGAGGGAAGACGAACAAAGCACACATCCAAAAATATGAAGCATAGATAAATCTGGAGAACGACCAAACAACTTCTAAAAGGGAAACGTATTACCAAGAACAGAGGAAGGAATATAGTTGATAAAAAGCACAGCTGTATTGGCTGCCTCTACCCAAAAAGAAGGTGGAGTATGGGACTCCTACAATAATGTCCTCACAACACTAAGGATATGTCCATTATTGCACTTGGCCACACCATTCTGCTGAGGAGTATCTGGACAATTTCGTTTCGTTATACTTGTATTCCATGATTCTTCACATAGGATAAAAAATCTCCATCAGTGTATTCTCCCCCTGAATCCAAACAGAGAATACGCATTTGTGATTGAAACCAAGGCCATACCATAGCATGAAACAACTTAAATGTTGGGAACACCTAAGACTTGTGGCAGAGAAAGTACATCCATGTGTACCCGGTACAATCATTAATGAATGACACAAAATATTTGTATCCAAGTTGAGAAATGACAGATGCAATCCAAATATCACTATATATAAGCTTGAAGGGAGAGGTGGCATGTTCAGATATGTGAGGAAATGGTAAAGTACGACCTTACTTAGGCAACAGGAAACACAAGATATATCAAAGTTGTGTAAGGAAGGAACTCTATTGTTAATAAGACCTGAATCAAACAAAAATTTCAATTTTTCAGCATGTATATGACCCAAACGTTTATGCCATAAGTCCCAACCATTATTTCTATGACTCAGAAAGGAACTAGAAGTGAAGGAACTGAAATAAGCCGATAATGTTGCTGTTTGAGACTTCTCGAACTCCAATGCAAACAAACGGCCCAACTTGCACCCCTTCCCTTTCACCTTCCCAATGTTCCGGTCCCGAATCAAACATCCATCCTGAGAAAAGATGAGAATGTTACCTGCATCAACTAATTAGCCAACATAAATCAAATTTGTAGTGAGATTTGGAACAAGAAGGGTCTTGGTAAGAGGGAAAGATGCAGTGGGTGAAAGCTTAAGAGACAGATCACTACTACCAATGATGCTTAACTTTTCACCATTGGCAGTAACAATATGTTTGTGATGGTTTCAATAAGGTTACTTGGTCGGTTAGGGTAGGCTCCTATTATGTGGTTGGTAGCTCCAAAGTCAATGATCCAAATATTTAAAGGAGAAGCACAATAACCATTTCAGCAAGAAAACAACAGTCCAGGCACAAGGATATCAAAGAAAACCAAATTCAGCAATCAAGAACTCAAGTTGATAGTCCAAGAAAAATTAAAGGCAAGTTTTAAGACTGTCGAGTCTAAAGTCTTTCAAATATGAATCAGAAGTTTAAATCAAACAAATAGGAAGCAAGAAAACCCTAGGACGACACCAGATTTAGGGTTATAGGTTGATCGATTCAGCCGATTAAGAGAAAACTGTGATTTACCAACACATCAAGCGTCTTTTCTAAGAACAATGAGGTATCTTGTGTTGATCGAAATAGTCCTTAGAAATCTCCAAACCAGAAACTGAGTGTTGAGTTAAGAAGAGCTTGAGAGAACCCTTCAATCTAGAGAGAAAATCCCGACTCGCAAGCTGATGTAGAAGGCCTGAAGTCCAAAGATGTTGCAATCCAAAAAGGAACTGTACAGTGTTTCCACCCCAAGAAGAATATCAGAACTCCTTCGAAAACGTCACCAAATCAGATGTTTGTAGATAGAATAGATCAGGTCTAGGCAACACCAGATCTGAAGTCCAAAGCCGTTGCAGTCCAAAAAAGGAAACTGTACTGTGTTGCTGCCCCAAGACGAAGATCAGAACTCCTTCGAAAACTTCACCAAACCAGATGTTGTTTGTAGGGAGAATAGATCAGGTCTAGGCGACACCAGATCTGAAGTTTGGCCTCAAACTGAACACTCTTGGCTTCTAGTGAGGTTCAAGAGAGAGAGAAAATAGATCAGAGAGCAACCTGCTTCGATACAATGTCAACATGCTTGGCTTAATAGAGAAAAGAACAAGAATAATCTTAGAGGTGTCAAGAATGATCAACCCCCACCTCAAAGAGTCTCTTATATATTAAAAGATGTACACAATTACAAGAATGCCCATATAGAGCTGAAAGAGAAAAGAAGAATAAGATGTATAAGTAATATACAACAGGGACTATACTAATAAAATACATCAAGTTACAGAGTCTCCACAGCTAGAAGACTGATGGGGTGATCTGGGCCATTGAAGAGGGAGGAGCAGATCAAGAAGGCACGAGGGAAGAAGGTGATCTAGGTCATTCATGTCCCCACCCGAATTTTTGAATAGTAGTGGAAAAACCCCAACGGGCACAGAGTTGGCCCCACACGAATCTTCTGACATGAGAAAGGGAAGAGATGATGGGTGACCGAGCCCACCTGCAAACTCTAGTGAGGAGGTAGCATGGGGGACTAGGAAGTGGGCCAGCTGTGGGGGAACCAGTCAACGGTCCGGACTGGTTAGACTGGGGTCTAGTAAAGGTGGCTCTCGAAAAAAGGAAATGAGGGAAGACCGGATGGGAAATAGAAAAGAAGAAGATAGAGTGCAAGGCAAAACAAGGGGCACGAGAAAAGAAGTTACTGACAAAAGGTGAAACAAGAGGTACAACCACTTGCAATGGTCATGGCGGAGGGGAGGGAAAAATGGATAAACAACGAGCAAAGTGTACATCAACCAACGTTAGAAGAGGGAGTGGAAGTCTCAAGTTGGGTTTTTTCAAAGCTCCTAGGCATAGGAAATTTTCTAGGGGTGTCAATGAAGGGACTCAAAGAGTGACAAAAGAAGTACCTGGAAGAAATTGAAAGAAAAGTTTTAGAGGGAGAAGAACGAAGAAACTCTTTAGATTGCCTTGG